AAGATCTTGAAAAGACATAGAGGAAGTTTAAAAGAAAAAAGTTTTATCAGATCCAAAATTATTAAATTAAAAATTAATTGAATGTTGTTTTTTAAATAAAGTTTCTGGTCTTAATCTACAAGCAACCTTTAATTCAACACTGTAGTACTCTGGTACTGTTTCGGTTCAAAACAATATCTGATGTTGTGAACACATAATTATCTTGGTCCTTGAATTTAAGACATGCCCCACTTTTCCAAAACTAATTTCCAGAAAAAAACTATTGTCTTGTATTTGTGGTTGTAACGTTTTGTTTCCTTAGTGTTTAACTGCGCAAACCCAACGAATATGTTTCAGTTTTTCAGAAAAGCTGATGAAAAAACAATGACAGCTTTTATTGTCTCTGATCGCCAGATAAATAAATAACAACTACAGCTCTGAACCACCTGCAGTGTTGTTTTGTTGTGAATTTTTGCAATTACAAATTAAAGGTCAAATTTAATCAAAATTATGAGATAGTCAGCAAAGAATAGATATTTTAATCCTCATAATGCTCACTCCATTTCAACTTAATAATCCTCCTGTTTGACATATATCATAGCTTTGACTCATCTTAGAATGTTTTATTTTAATGAGCTTCCATACTAATTTCTCTTTAAAGTGTGATGAAGGAATATTTTTATATCGGCAGGGCAGAGGAATCCTTCATGTAAGCTTTACTTTCTTTTTGAACAAACCAGCAGCGTGTTTATGTAACCACTGCACAGAGTTCGTTTCATCATTTGGAAGAGTAAATAAATTAGTAAACCTACTGGTGTTTATCAGAGGCGACCAATCATCTGCAGTGATTCCAACAAACAGAGTTAATATAATAATAATGCAGTGGAGGATAAAGTGATACCCAGGGGAGCTTTAATAAAACTCTGATCATCAGCACAGCGAGCTGCAGTGGAAAAACACGCTGAGAAAATAAAAGTGTCGCCACAGGGAGAAAAATAAATCAACAAAACATTAAAAAGAAATGATATTTATCTGAGGGAATGGTTTATCTAATGCACCCTCTGCTGAATGACCTCTGATCAGTTTAATAATAGTGTGTATAACAGTGGCTGCTGAGATGCAAATCAGACTTTTTAAGTAATGGTCATCACTACTGTGTAGTGTAAAACCACGTATCTCCAATAAAATCATGTTTTTCGTCTAAGGAAAGACATTTTTAAAGACACTGCGAATCACATAAAACCACTCTCGGCTCTTGAATCTAATTCCTAATGATTTGATCAAATCCTTCTCAAAATGACGCCTAGCTCACATATTCTGATTCACTCAGAGAATCACTCTAACTGCTGTTTCACTGTGTCTTTAAATGTATTTAAAGTTAAAATAATTATTTTCTCACATATGTTGTGAAACCACGTGAATCAAAATGGCAGTTACGTGGTTCTTCTATGACAGCATGTGTACGAGCTGATGTATGGAAGTCCACTCCTGCTGAGGAAAAGAAAAAAATTAAAATACTCCCCTAGGTAGATGTATAGTATGAGCTATTAACGGAAACTTATGATCTTTTAAATCAAAATTATAATTGTCAAGCAAATGAAAATTAGGACTTTTCAAATAACAACACTGAGATATGAATCTAAAAATAATCAGATTAAAAAATGATAAAACGTATGACATACGTAAAAAATGTGACTTTAAATGTGATAGTGAATTAAATTCATAACCTTTTGAAATCAAAATCATACTGTTAAAGTATAAAGTATGAGAAACTAAATACTCAAAGCAAAATGATAGTAAGTTAAAAATGTGACATATTATAAACATATTATATTATAACAAATAATAATGTAGCAAAGATAACAGGTTAATAGGTAAAATTAGTAAATCAAATTTATGGCTTTTTTATTTCACACATTTAATACAATAAGTATTTCTCTCATGCTAGCTTTTTATGCATTTTTTTCTTTTGTTGGCAGAAATAGGCTTCCATATAAAACATGTGTGTACAGATGCGTTGTTCATATGTGTACTCTGTTTAACTAAAGGAATTTTTGTCTCTTTGTGCTTTTTGAAAAAAAAAAAAAAAAATTACCCAAATTACCCCCAGAATTTTTTCTTCAAATTTTCCTTTCGAGTTTTTCCATATATCCTGGGAAAAACCCACAAAAACAAAAAAAACAAAACAATTAAATCCAAAATAAGACAGATACCTGAACTAAAAACCCCACCCTCGTTAGAACCAACAAAACAACAGAGATGAGTAACGATGACAAGTGTAAAGATTTCCCCTCTATCTTTATAATTCATAGGAACAATATAAGATTTGATTTTACAGTACATTTTCTTCCTTTGTTTTTCCAAAAGCTCCAGCTGTTTTTGTAGTTTAAGTTAACTGATAGTCTCAGGTAGCATCAAAGTCTACGCCGATTTCTGAAAACTCTTATTTCGAAATACTAAAATAGTTCTGAGAGACCAAATGCTCAAATCCCATTGGCTTAGGGCTGAAAACCGTCCAACAGGAAGTCCTTTTATTCTGAAATATCCAGTCACAGTCTCAGATTATGATTGCATGTTGTTCTTTAAATCATTAAATAAATCACTGAACTTCCTGTCTGCAGTCAGTGTGTCTCTGGTCCATGGCTTCTTTGTTGCTGCGTCTTCTTAACGCCAGAATCCTCTTGTCATCATAAACATTTTCACCTCAAAAAAAAGTAAGAAACTGATTCTCTGCATATTGAGACCAGGAGATATCTGTGTTCATCGGTTATTTTCCCACTGGTCGTTAAGACAGAAACATCGATGTCCGACTCTTTGTTATTTCGGCAGTCCTCGGCCCGGCGGTCTTTCTCTCTGTGAGTCTGAAGGCACTTGATGTCATGGCAGAGGGTGAACTTTCCTCCTTGGTCCGCCACAGACAGACAGATGTCAAAATAAAGGTCTTTTTTTTTTTTTTTTTTAACTACCGCTCTGTGGGTCCGCCCGCTGTAAAAAGTTACCTCCCCCATTTAAGAAAAAAACAAAAGATAGAGACTATTTGTTTGTCCAAATCACGGTACAGTACTGTTGATCTGCGGAGGGGGAGTACAGAGGGGGGAGGGTAAGTGAGAGGGTTTATGAGAGGAGATGGAGGGGTGGGGGGGGGAGGCAGGAAAGTTCACATTCAAACTGTTATTTCCTCTTTTTTTAATATTCCAGTCCCGCACACTGACAAAGTCACTGACAACACCTGGCACACCTGGGCTGCGTCCACACTAACACCCCTGAAAACACAGATCACATGACTGTTGATGTACACTGGGCATGTGCGTGCCAATGTAAACAGGAAGCAGATGGTCTAGATTGTTGTAGCATTAACACAGAGAATGTAAGTGAACAACAGCTGCAAAGACAACAAGGTCAGTAACTCTGTCAGTCATTATCATGTTGTATTCACCACTGGTAGTCCAGGCTGATGAGAGCCAATCAGGAGAGACCGTGGGTGTGACCTCATCATTTACAAAGGTCTCAGTTTCTGTCCAGACTACAACACAACCCCAGAGTTTTCAAACTAAAACGCAACCCGAGTTTTCAAAATAAAGCACAACCCCAGAGTTTTCAAAATAAAGCATGACCCCAGAGTTTTCAAAATAAAGCGCAACCCCAGAGTTTTCAAAATAAAACGCAGCTCCAAATTTTTCAAAATAAAGCGCAACCCCATTGTTTTCAAAATAAGGAGTCGTGTGGACGGAAACTTAGTAAAAGAGATGAGTCTTAAAACTAAAACGTAGCAGTGTGGACGCAGCCTCATGCGACTCCAAGAACTCCCAACCACTGTCATTACAACAGCGGGGAGCACTAACCAACCAAGTGACATCCACGACCTTGATCCCGACCCCACAGAGGTTAAATACCTGGGTCTCCTCACCTGTCAGTCAGAACCTACAACCAAGTCCAGTCGCCTTGGATTCAACTTTTCTTGGATTCAGTCTTCAGACCTTCATCAGCCAAATCTCATACAAACAGCAGCGGACATATAAAGGCTACAAGCTTTCACCTGGAAATAACCCACCAATCAGAGGATGCCAGCAACACCTCCTGTTATGCATAAAGATTAAGGTGCTCAAATACAAAAACAAAGACAATAATGAGCTCTTACAGCTGTAAACGTACAGAAATAATATGCCAGTATTAAAGAAAATGGGTTCAGATTGTACCATATGGCCCTAAGGCGACATCAGATGAGAACAACATGTAGCCTGTGTTTTTAGAGGAAGAAAAAGGCAATAAAGTGAATTTCGAAATGGGCAAAAGAGCTAGAAATCACAATATTCACAAGAAGGGAATATAGGCTAGAGAGATTTACTGTCCGATGTGAACTGTTGTTCTGTTCATCTATAATACTGGCATATTTATTATGTTACAGGGGAGCTGTAGTTTTTCAGATGCTGAAAATATATTGTGGATTTATTTAGTTGAAATCACGAAGGTTTCAGCTTCGAACATCCAGAACTGGCTGATGATTTGTTCTATGGAGACAAAACCTTTGTTTTTTCTCAGATGAAATAAATGTCGGATGTTCTGAGGCTAGGTCGGAGGTGACGTCATACTTCAGCTCTCTGTGGCGAAACTCCCACACTACATTCAAACTAAGTGACCTTTGACCTGACACAGAGCGGCTGAACTTGCTGGTTTGGACTCTGCGGTGAACTGGTCCAGCCGACTACAGGATGGGCTGATGTTTACGACGTGTTAATCAGATGGATATTTGAGGTTTCCCCCTGCTTTCAGTTTTTATGCTAAGCTAGGCTAACACTGTCTCTGGACTGGGAATGGAACCAATGTTGCACTGCTCCTGTAATCCCTCCTTCACTGTTTCCTACAACGTAAACAATCCTCACTTCTCATCACGCCTCTCTGCTGCAGCTCAGACCGAATCTTTGGTAGTTTGGGGGGGGGGAGGGGGTAGATGGTGGGAATTGGATTTGATGTAGAGGAGATTGGGGCGGGGGCAAAAGAGTCAAAGGTCATGGTGTCACGTTGTGTACAGGGGGGAGGGGGTCACCTCTGCTGGCCCATCAGAGCCAGACTCAGAGTGATGCACAGCTGCCATATATGGGGCGAAGAGGGCGGGGCGAGAGACCTTAGATCTGAATAGGAAAGTGGGAGAGAGAGAGAGAGACAGGTGAGTGTAATGATCAGGAGAAAAAGCTGCTGCTGTAAAAACAAAAAGAACGTTCATCCATGTTTATTTTCTTTTGACGATTTTATGGAAATTTGGTTAAAATTTGTTCAGTTTGGATTAAACTAAACCTGAGGGTCCCAACATGAGGTTTGGGACCCCACTAGGGGTCATGGCATGAATCTAAGGGGTCATGAGATCCTGTGGTCAGCGTTTCATCCAGCAGGTGAATGATCACAGTACAGGTGTACTCACTGTTGGGTGGAGGGTCTTTACACTCGCCCTCCTCGATGGTTACATCATCGATGGCGATGTCTCCCTCGATACCAGAACCTCGGACTCCCTCCATCACCATCTGCCACAGACACAGAGACAGGAAGCTGAGACATGAGGTTATGGCCATTTTGTTTGTGGTTGTTTGGACTTGTTGTGTCTCTTTGTGGTCATTGTGGAGGTGGGTGTGGTTTGTACCTGGAAGGCCATGGTTGGGTGGATGTTGACCTTGGCTTGTCTCCAGCGGTCTCCTTGGTTACCAGTCAGACTCCAGACTGAAGTGTCCGTCACCGTCTGACCTTTCTGGCGCAGGAACACATTCAGAGCTCCTACAGGACAGACGGGGTGTTTAATGTTGTCATGATTTATTCTGTGCTGTACCTGAGACGGCGCCATGTTGCTGCAGCCTCACCTATGTGTTTCCCGTACATGTGGTAGAAGAAGGCGAAGCAGTAGGTGGGGCTGTTGCTGACGGCGGACGAGGAGGAGGTCTTAGAGTTCATGTTGAAGGTGGGAGACAGCAGCCGAGCTTTGTCTCCCTCCAGCCTCGGCCTCGACGTCTCGATGTACATGTAGAAACCTGAGAGAGCGCAACAGCAACACAGGTCAGAGGTCACAGGTCAGAGGTCACAGTTAGGCTCAAGGGTAAATAAACAAGGTCTTTACTGGAGTTTATTTTTATTGAATTATAGATTAAAATTTTAACCCTTTTTCAAAGTCTGTGATTGTTTCATAATTAAACCCAGTGACACTTTTATATCATATTGTACAGAAGCTAAGTGGCTAACTGTGGTAGCTGTGGAGACGTGATTGGCTGAGGTAGAGAATAGAATGTAGAGAATTATTGATTCATCTGATGGTTATTTTTTAATGAATTTAATCTATGAGGGACCAAAGAACTTTAAATGTGACGTCTTCAAATGTCGTTTCAGTTCACGATGAGATTTGACAAAGAAAAGTAGCAGATCGTCTTTTTAGAGGCTGAAACCTGCAGTTTTATTTATTTTTACTACTTTATCTTAAATAAAATGAAAGATTATAAGAATAGATCAGATTAGATAAGAACTGATTCATCAACTGATAATTTCAGCTCAAGGTTTCTCTGTTTATTTATATGATTATTTCATCTCTTATGTTTATATTTACTACTGGACATAAATCACAAAAAAATCTTAATCTCCACTCTTTTCCTTGGACCGTCCTCGGTGAGTTGTACAGGGAATCGAACCTCTAACCCTGCCTTGCTCCCAGCGCAGACGAACCCAGAGTAAAAACCACTGTAGCAGCCGCACAGAGAGCGGCAGCAGCTTCCACCTCCAGCAGAGAAACAATCCTCACAAATGAACTTGTACACGACTGTGGAAACACTCACACACGCGTGTTTCCTGTTTAAAACGTTTCACCCCGCGGCTTCGCTTTAATGAGATCCTAGAAGAAGAACGAGGAGGAGGAGGAGGAGCCCAACAACAAACAGCCTCTGTCACGCATCAGCTGGATGTATGTGGAGTTATTGTAACCTTTGTTTACTCAGGGATTAAATCTGAGCACGCACAGCTGTTTCCTGTTTGTCTGTGTAGTTCAGTTAATCCAGACTGAGCTGCTGGAACTTTATTTATTCTAACGTTTACAAGCTCAAAGTAAAACACACTAAGTGTAGCTGCAAGCAGAGAAGTAAAGAACGTTCTACACACAGCTGCTGCTCGCTCCACTACTGCATACTGTGTGTACTGTGTGTACTGTGTGTACTGTGTGTGTACTGTGTGTACTGTGTGTACTGAATGTGTACTGTGTGTACTGTGTGTACTGTGTGTACAGTGTGTACTGTGTGTGCTGTGTGTATTGAATGTGTACTGTGTGTATTGTGTGTACTGTGTGTGCTGTGTGTACTATGTGTACTGTGTGTACTGTGTGTACTGTGTGTATTGAATGTGTACTGTGTGTACTGTGTGTACTGTGTGTGTACTGTGTGTTCTGTGTGTACTGTGTGTGCTGTGTGTACTGTGTGTGCTGTGTGTGCTGTTAATGTATGTACATTTGAATATAAAAGCACACACACATTAGAAACGATCTTTTCTCCAAATGTTGATGCTCAGTTGCTTTTTCTTTTTTTTTTCAAATTAAAAAATAAAATAATTGAACAGATTGTGAAACGTTCAAAGGTTTGACCCGGAGTCAGTAAC